TGGAGTGAATGTCTGCTTCCCAGCTGCTCTTTCAGAGAGCTACAGCCACAGCCACAAGAGATGTAGTTACACAGACTGACTAGGCTGATCCACCTACACACCTGACCCTAGCCATGCCTTCCCATGCTTCACCTTGCAGCAGCTCTACTGGACCTTTTCTTGAGCCAGGTAACCCCACGCATCTAGCAAAAGGAAAAATGGCCCAAGGGGTTATTTTTATGCTGTATTAGAGAATTCAATAATTTCATCAAAGGCTGTGACAGAAGCCAAAGCTGGCTCAGGGGAAGGTGAAAGCACATGTCTGGGAAGAGGAGCATGGTTAAAGCAGCAAAGTGTTCTCTCCTTTTTGCAGCATATATATTTTGGAGTGTCAGCTAAGCCAGAAATCCTGCAGCAAATGACATCTGCTATGAACACCAAGGATCTAGCTCTTCCCAGAAAAGCAGTCAATGTCCCATTCATAGGAGTGTCCCATTTCAATAGTTTCCCATTTATAATGGGTGGCATGACAGTGCAGATCAGAGGTGCAAGTGACAGGATGCAGTTTGGTCTATCTCTGCTAGCTGTTTCTTGGGACAAGGAAAAGAGGTAGGTCCAAAATCAGCTATGGATGTTGTACAGTTGTCACTGGGGAAAATAAATTCGGTATCACTTCATGGGGACCTCCAGAGACTACAGAACAAATGAGCACTTACTATTTGAAAGTGGATGGAAATTCTCCTTTTGCACAGGTGTAATTGTATTTTCTCCAATTTGGCAGCGTACAGCTATGGTTAGACTGTCTGCAGTGGTGAAGCATTGAGTCTACAAGGGAAAAGGTAACCCAAGCCCATTAATAAGAAATCATATTTCTATGCATTGCCTGGATATAAGAGGTTTAGGAATCCTTGACAATAAATAAGGATGATTTTTTTTTTCCCTGAAAGACCTAAGCCTCAGAAGTGAATAGAAAAAAAAAAAACAAAGATTTATACTTGATATGGATTGATTCTTTTTTTCTTTTTGGAAAACAGGGCACTAAATACTGCGATATCTTAGTTTGCTAGGATCATTACATACTGACTAGGCAGGAAGTAAAGTTATTTTGGAAAAATAGGTGATATGTTCTGTGAGGCAAAGTACTTTGACAAAAATATTTTACTTTCATCAGTAAAATTAAGATAATATTAGGATTCAATATTAATCTTGAAGCTCAGTGAAGTTATGGTAATCTGATAGAACATGGTTCCACAGCTATACTAAAGGGTTATCCATATCACACAATAGTAAATATGCAACGTGTAAATTAGCTTGACTGGAAAGAAAAGTATTTGAAAGAGTGCTTCTTGGATCTGTTTACCAAGCTCAACATTCATCTTCGTACATGAGGGGCTAATACGAGAAAGCTTGTCTATTGTTAGAACTGATTTTTTTTTTCCTGAAAGCACAAAAGCTACATCAGTTTCTAGGTATGACTGAGGGAAGTACCTAAACAAATTACCAATTTAAATAAATAATAATAATAATAATAAGACTTATCTTACCATTGGTTCCACTGATAATTTGCCATTGCAGCTAGCATCTAATATGTGTAACCAGAAGCTTCACAGTACTTCATGATCTGAATGATCTTTTCTTTCTTTCACCCACCTCATCACTAGCCAGAACATCTCAGATGGATTACTCACATTACTGTTTTTGCTGAAGGTCTTTATGCATCTCCTAAGTCCTGTTACATGTTCTGCCTTGGGTAATTCACAGTGCTCTTTGAATTTTTCAGGTAAAGAAAATGACCTGGGATTTAAGCAGGAGAAATCCGATGAGCTGAGGAGGACATTTTCTATTTAGTCAAATTTTATGGAACATAGAGACCTTTCAAAGTGTTTTGCACCCTGCCAAATTAGCAAAATCCTGCAATGGCAAACCTGCACCCTTCTTTCCTTCCCCATCACATCCTCCAGACATATCTTATCTCTGGAACATGGAAAGTCATTGTACTCCAGCTATTACAAATCAAAGATGACAAGAGTTTCCCAATCTTTGAGGCATCACAAAACCCTCTGGCTACCTCCTTTACTTGCCGTTCATAACAAAGGGCATGCAGAGCTTAAACACTCCTGCTGCCCACAGCTATGTCAGTGTGGCCTTGGGAGAAAGGTGTCTGTCTGATCGCTTCTAGGGTTTGCAGGTCTCCTTCGAACTATTGACAGCCCTGTAGTGTCTCATATACTGAGACATATTCTCTGAATCAGGTCCCATCTTGTACTCTGCCAGGGCTGTACCTCACACTTGGCAGTGCTATGCCATAGCCTCTCTTTTGCTCTGTGTTCCCTG